CAGTACGGCGGTAATATGGCAATATCTTGGTTTGGTACACCAAACAAAAACAGCTAATTTGTAAGAGCTGTCGCTAAATTGTTCCACAGTACAAGGAAGTACAACAACCAGCTTTTAAAAATCACCACATGCAGCTATATTAGGAGCATCTTGCTAAAAAGAGCATCATCTAAAAGTATTGCCAGTGACACTCAGTCTAGTAGCAAGCAAAGAACAATATTAGAGTTGTTTGCTAATATATTGATATATTTTCACTTCCCTTTTTTAATAAACACTTTGCATTTTAGCAGTAAGAAGCTATAATACATATTATTGAGCTGAAGCTTGACAACAAAATGAAATTACAAATCAAATCGATATCGCAATATCTATCAAACAAACAAACAAAAAAAACGCAATTAGATATTTTCCCAAAATTGCACAGCCCTAATGGACACCAATAATCCAATTTTAATGTGATTAAGACAACACTGATTAGGGGTCTGCCATGTAAACTGAATTTTTTATTTTCATTCATTTAATCCGATTAAGGTCATAATCAAACTAAACATAAAAAGAATTACGACATCAGGTGTATGTTGATTTTAGTCGCATCATTAAAGTGCAGTACAGACATGTAAACACCGCAATTAAACTATTACTGTTGTCACTTTCCATTAAAACAACACTCTTCCAGCAGTTCATACTCGCATCCAATATTTCGTTTGTCACGGGGGGTATATGCATGAAATGTTCCTGAATGAAAGTGCCAAACTGCATTTAAAGTTGACAAAAAAAAAAGAAACGTCCGAAATTACATGAAACTCTGGAGGAAATGTGGATAGCGTGTTGACACAATGACGTTAATCGAAATATGTGCTATAACGTAAAAACGGGATCATGAAAGGAACATTTAAAAAGCAACTCATGTAAACAACTTATTCATATTATTGTCTTATTCAGATTAAGGCAAATAATTCGATTACTGATGTCCATATAAACATAGTCATTGTCATTAGTGTTAACAGCATCACAATCAAACGATGTACAGTTCTGCCCACATCTGATACTGAAGACATTGGGTAATCTTGGATTTCATCTATAATATCGTAACTTGTGTTCTGAAGATGAATGAATGTCTCGAAGGAGTAGAATTTTCACTTTTGGTTGAATTAACCCTTTATGTGACTTTGAATGTGACAGATAATTAGTTAATTCTTACCGGTGCTTAAATGAATAAGATAATAATCCGTATTTGACAGATTCTCAAGCCCAGTGTCCTCCCCTTGTTGAGAGAGAGGTTTGACTTCAGGGTTTAGCCTGGCCCTGCAAAACCTCCCTGCCCCTGTTTCTCTTTATCTGTAGTAGGACAAGGATATGGAGTTGGGGTGGTGGAGGGATACTGGAAAATTGGAGAGATTCCAGAGGGAGGATGTGTTTGATTTATTTATAGGCATTCTCTTTTCCACTGATTGCATAATAGTGTGATTTCTAATGCTGGACTGGATGTGTCAATCAAACCGAGAAACTGCTGATTAGTTGGAATTTGTATTCACAGGCATTTCTAGTTTTTATAGAGAACAAAGAAAATGTCCAAGTAGAGGCAGTTCTGCAGACAAAATCAACTTCTTGATGCAAGATTTCAGAGGAGTATGGCCAGACTGGTTTATGACAGTAGGAAGGCAACTCTGACAAATAAGCACTCATTATAACATATTACTTTGAACCAGATGAGCTACAGAAGCAGGAGACTACCCCTTAAACCCCCAAAAGCCCTCACCACATCCTACTGTTGCTGTTCATTTTCATCCCTTTGACCCCACAAGTTTGATAAACCACCATGTCACAAATCTGGATTCTTGAACATGATAATGACTATGTTTACATGAAGATTAGTAATGGAATTATTTGCCATAATCTGAATAAGAAAATAGTATGATAAAGGTGTTTACATGAGTTGCATTTTGAATGTTCCTTTCATGATCCCGTTTTACATGTTATCTCATAATTCGATTAACGTAATTATGTCACCATGCTATCCACACTTCCTCTTGAGTTTCGTGTAATTTTGGCTGTTTCATTTTGAATTTGTTGACTTCAACTGCAGTTAGGCACTGTCACTTTCATTCAGGAACATTTCAAGCATGCCCCTGTGACAAATAGGATATTGGATTCGAGTATGAACTGCTGGAAGAGTGTTGTTTTATGGAATTTACCATATATATGAATATTGCATGCCATATGAAAAAAAAACTCTGCATTTCATGATGCAGGTGTCTGTGATCCTTCACTGACTCAATGGGTGCAGAGAATAGTATGAAACAGCCATGTGTGTAGACTTTCCTGTCGCAAAATGTGGCGACATGACGGTAATAGTATTAAATAAAAAATGTTTACATGTCTGTACTGCACTTCAATAATGCAACTTAAAATCAGCATACTCCACGTCTTAATTCCATTTTTTTAGTTCAATTATGACCTTAATCGGATTAAATTAATCAAATCACTGTTTTGGTAGACTCTTAAACAGAGTAGTGTCTTAATCGTTTTAAAATTGAATTATTGGTGTCCATATAAACAAACTTAACGAGTTCACTACACTTCAATGCCTACCATAGCCACTAGATCTCAGTTGAACACCCCTTTTTAGTGGCAGTATAAACACAATTTTAATGTCAGTATAGACTTTCCTCTGAGAAGATTTTAGCACCTTTGTGGTATCTATGCTACAAAGATTAAGACCGTTCTGAAGGCAAATAATGTCCATTCCAGTTCTAGCATGGTGCACCTAATAAATTGGCCAGTGAGTGTACTGAAAATGTGGATGAGATTTAGAACATTAAACTGCTCTGCCACCTTGTGGAGTGCCTAAAACAGTGCTTCACTTTTCGCTCAGCCTTACAAGAAAGTGACAGTTCCCCTAAAACATTCAATCATTTACTCTTTTACTTTTCAGATAGCATAAAAGCAGTCAATGCATCTCGGGTGCTAGGTGCTCAGGTGCTTTAAGGAAGACACTGAACACGATTACTATTCTGCCACAATGATATGTTGAGATACATTTAATGTGTGGAGCAATGAGAACACACTGCACAGCAGCTTGTGGGCATCATCAGTTTGGTTGATTTGAAGGGTGGAGAGCTGAATCAGGGATGCCTCCTACACATGTTGAGAATCACTGCCCTAAAGAAATTATTAAGAAATTAGAGAGCTGATTCATCAAAGTATTGCGTAAGGGCATTTTTTCCATTAACGTTTAGTGCCGTGAGCAAGCTAATATACTCAAATAGACAGGCTATCTTTATGATATAAAGAGAATATGCCAAAGAGGTTGGTGCTAATTTAAAAATGCCACCAAAAGTTATTACTTTAATAATGCTTAAATGATGAGGTCATTACTTTTTACAGCTTCCACTTGTTTTCATCCCATACCTGTTTGTTTTAGTGTGCATAACATTTCTCAAATTAAATAATGGATGTTTAGTTAATATTAAGCACACAAACCTGCATTTTTTATAGTGAAGAGAATGGATTTTCTATGTTTCAAGATTCAGAATTGTTTAATAACAAAACAAAAAAAAATGGTGTAGGATAGAAATTCATTTATTTGATGTGTTTTATTCTTATAACAGGAACTTGAATTGTAAAGGACATTTTTTTCATTTATGTTATTAGGAAAAAACCATATATATATAAGAAAAAGTGGGTTTAATGTAAAGAAAATATTTCAATCTTTTCAAACAATCACAAAAAAAGCACTTAAAACATGTAATTCTCTGAAAACATTTAAATTCATGTAAATGTCAATTTTTTTTATATTTTCTTTGTCAGAAAACTTTTTAAAGGAGTTTGCATGTTCTCCCTGCAAAGCGTGGGTTTCCTCCACAGTCCAAAAACATACAGTACAGGTAAATTGGGTAAGCTAAATTGTCCGTAGTGTATGAGTGTGGGTGTGGATGTTTCCCAGAGATGGGTTGTGGCTGGAAGGGCATTTGCTGCGTAAAAGCTTGCTGCATAAATTGGCGGTATATTCTGCTGTGGAGACCCCGGATTAATAAAGGGACTAAGCTGACAAGAAAATGAATGAATGAAAACTTTTTGAGTATGTAATACCTCTTGTTCATGTGGCATTGAATTAATAAAGTAACCTCAGCAGATATTCTGACTGGATGTATTTAGTCTAATTGTATTCAGTTGTGGGTTCACTTTTGAGCCACTCCAGCCAACAGCAGAATGGTAACTACCCTGCAAGCTGGGGATAAAGTAAGTAAGGCCCAATCTGATCGGTCAAATTTAGATAACCAATGCTTAAATGTAATTTATCACAAATGTTTGCCTATAGTGCATATACAATTATTGCAATAATCATTTTGCAACATATTATGCAGCAAGACTTCATACTACCATGATATTAAGGTTTGAATTGCTTTAGCTCAATGGTCTCAAACTCAATTTTGAGGTTGGCAGCTCCAACCACCTCCAACTCACACCTGCTTAGTAGTCTCTACTAGTCTTGAACACCTTGATTAGTTGGATCAGCTGTGTTTGATTAGACTTGTAGCAAAACTGTGCAGAGCTGCGGCCCTCTAGAAATTGAGTTTGAAACCTATGCTTCAGCTCAGTGTTTCTCAACCATGTTCGTGAAGGATCACCAACACTGCATGTTTTGGATGTCACCAATTGTCTGTCACACCCATTACAGGTCTTTTAGTCTCTGCTAATGAGCTGATGACCTGACTAAGGTGTGTTGGATTAAGGAGACATGGAAAATGTGCAGAGCTGGTGGTCCTCCAGGAACATGGTTGAGAAACACTGCTTTAGCTCATACATGAACTTGATTTTTGCACAAGTCCTGTAAGATATAATGAAGACAACTCCCATGATCCCACAATCACAGTGTCATCATTTGTTTGTTGAGAATACTTGCCCTCTAGTGGCAAAAATTACATATTTTATTTAAGTAAACTACATATTTAATAATAATAACTAATTATCATAACCAACAAGAAAAAAAAATCCTCTCAGCCTGAAAAACAAGAAACTATTTTAATGATATTTCTTCAACATCTGAAAACAAACATACCACAATACAGTGCTTAGTTTTGCTACATATGAATACAAAGGCATGCAAAACAAACATTAATATATGACAAACATTGTGAATAATAACATCAGCAAAATAATGTCTTCAACAGCTTTTGGCTAACAATGTGTAAAAGAATTAATGCTTGGCACAGAGCTAATGATTTGGAGACTTAACCACAATTCTGTTCACATTACAATACATGATAATCAACCATTCACATAAACCTAGCTGCAAAAGTGGTTATTAAAATCACCAAAAATGCTTCAATTAGACATGAGGCGCTTTATAGCAGCTTCAAGAGGATCACCCACGGGTTTAGGGAGATCGACGGGATTAAGGCGATAATTTTCACAAAGTCCCCTCAAGACCTGGCCTTCTTTGAGTTCCTCAGCAGGTATGGTGAAGTTCTCAAGGAGCCAGTGCTCAAACTGCTCACTCTCTAAAGTGATGGGGATAGCAGAGGTCACTGATTGTGGATTAGGTAGTGTGAGTGCAGCTGCAGTGGTAAGACTGGTCTGGTCATGCATACTGTCCATCGAAGAGCACATTTCTCCAGAATTGGTGCTGCCCATTTCAGGACTCTTTTCCTTGGATGATTTTGTTGGACTTTCATGATCACATTCGTATATAAGGCTTGGATCAGGCGATCCTATACCTTTACGTGTACTAACAGATTCATTGTCATCCATGGTGAGGCTGCTGGTGACCGTCACAACATCTTCAGATTCAATTCGGATGAGTTTCAAACGTTTGTTGCCCTGGTCATTATCTCTATGGTAGGAGTTGGTGCCCATGTCTAGAAGAATGCAATCAGAGTCAGAATTTCTGTCTGTAGTATCATGATCTATCTCAGTATCATTTGAATCCATGTCATCATGATTGGGTTGGCTTAATTTAGTCTCTGGAGAGTCAAACACCACTCCTCGCACCTCTGGTCGTGAGGTTCTCTGGATCATGCCATTTGTTGAGCTTCGAATATTTGAGTTGGTCATCATGTACTGCTTGACTGACTCTGGAATTACCACTGCTTTTGGCTTCTTGCGAGGGCTCAGGAGGGAAGAAAAATAAGGCAGGCAGTTGCCTACTATGGGCACCAGTGAAATAGGAGATAGGGCAGAGACAAAGTCCTCCAGTTCTTGGTAGGAAGAATGGTCCGAGTAAGGCACCACATAAACATTAGGGTGGCAGGAGACCATAGGGCGGCTGGTGGGCAATATAGCAATGGTAGACTGCAGTTTGTTCCATGCCATTAGGTTGGAAGCGCTGATCATAGACTGATTGACCACACGAATACGACCTGCACCAGAGTCTGTGGTGAAAACATCAGGGAGCTGCAGAACACGCAAGGTTTCCAGGCGCTCTCTGTCCACCTCAACCCATGTTTTAAACTCCATGGCAAGGTCAACCAGCAAGGACTCTTTACCCAGAGAGTAAAGACCTGATGACAGATAACATATTTAATGCAATTTCAAATATTTCAAAATTACTCAAAACTAAGAGTACATTTACAGTAGGGCTTAAATTGTACACTGCCAATTCAATAATATCCCAATACATGTGAGTATATATTGAGATGAGTATTGCAATTACAGTGGTTCCTCTTTTCTTACAAGAGTTACGTTCAAAAAATAACCTGCAATAAGCGAAATCCACGAAGTAGTCAGCTTTATTTTTTTTACAATTATTATAGATGTTTTAAGGCTATAAAACCTCTCACTACACACTTTATATACTTTTCTCAGACAGACATTACCATGTTAACTCTTCTCTCTTGTTTAAACACTCTTAAACTTTTGTAAAAAAGTCCAGTATTATAAAATAAAACCAAAGATCAAAACCTGCTGTCAGACGCAAAGTAAACAAACCGGCAGACACAAAATGTTCCTTCAAATCAATTTGCTTGCACATTTGGAGTAGTGGTCCTTCTCTATTGACATCTGTTTGACAGTTTTAGCCACAATATTATTAAATCAAAACACCGTCAATTTGCTAAGTGCGAATAATGTGCAAAAAGCCCCAACTCAAATTTCAGTACATCAACATACCGAAATAAGTCTGGTAAACTTCTTGCTCACACAAACTTTAAATAAGTTATGCTTTTTAAAAGTCCGAACAAAAACATAATATTTTGTTAGAGTTAAAAAAAAGTCTCACCAATGACTACAGCATATCCAGGATGATCCCTGATGATCTGTTTGATTTGTTGTGTGGCTTGTTGGCGAGAAGGTAAGGCTCGAGTCGGGTCACAGTTTGTGTTGTCCAAATACAGAACATCAATGTTAATGTGGTTTTGAAGACATGGCACACGGAGCATTGATGGGGTGTAACGGAAATCACCTGAGTTAAAACAGAATAAATTATCCGTTAAAATACAATCTCAATACTAAGAGCTGACAGACTTGTTGTACGATAACATTGTTTTTTTTTTTTTTTGAAGACTGTATGAATTTTGTTTTTCCAAACCTACCAGTGTAGAGTCTGGTGCCAAAGTATCCTTGAAAAAGGAACATAACTGCACCAGGACAGTGATTGGCATCTATTAGATTAACAGTCAGTCGTTCTTTTCCAAGGTCATCAAGCATTAGCATGTGATCTTGACCAATCTCCAGAGGACGAATCCATTTCTGTTTGATCTGAATAACAGAGCACAATTTGTAATTTTATACAGCTTGATCAGTCTAACAAACAAAACAATACTCAACATCCAGGGAATTTATCATTTTTCATTAACTTTTTTCTGGTCAAGTTTTCAACCTGCCAAGATGCCAAAGACCGCAGAATGGTTTTGTTATATTGAGTGAGTAAAAAGTGACATTAGAAATATGCTTTTTGCTGAACGATGTAGACTTACGATGTATCAAAGCCAAAGCACATACTCGCAGTATTTACTGAAGACTAAAAGTTTCATATTTTGACACACTGTTGATTTAGTATTAATGTATAAACCGGACGACAAAAAACAAACATCTACAGTTCAACTGTTTGCATATGACATTATATACATATTATTCCAAATCAGTTCTTAAACTTCATATATAATAATTTTGTTATTAGCTATATTTCCATCCAACTTTATGCGTATTTTGGACATGTGCATTAAAAAAAAACTGTTGGAAATGGAAACGGCAAGATGTGCAACAATTTTGAAAATGCGCATAAAGTATGAGCATAACTGAGTAGGATAAACTTTTCATCAGATAAAAAAGATGTGCATAAACTATGATGGAAACACTTTTACCGAACAAATTCCAGTGTGTGCATTAAATGTGATTTTGTTATAAGAGATCATGTGATGATAAAAATGTGTGTAAATGGACAAACCAGCTGGCTGAGCACACTAAAACATCTGAAATGTTGATTTGGTCATTCTAAAAAGGCATAACTATTTCAGTATTAGTGTTATTATATTAATAATGACCTCCAGAACTTTCATGAGAGTCTGTGCTTCATGCCTTCAAATGCCATCATGCGTTCATTGCGTGTAGGCGTTGTCTTCTAAGACGCTAGTCAATTGTTAAATAAGGAAAAGATTCAAGCAGCTTCTCCTACCGCAGCAAATTTCATTTTTCCAGTTTAGTTTTGCACATAATTTTATTTTGCATCTTTGGATGGAAACATAGCTATTGTTAATTACACATATTACTATTCCAACAAATATAGATTCTCTCCAAATAATAAACTATTCAACCTTTAAAACACTGGTATTGTGTTGTCTAAAAATGATTATAAACGTATATGAAAACATGGAATCTTTTGTTATTCTGACCAATTTTTATTTTCTGCAATAAATGACATTTTGGCTATAATTTTAGCAGATCTCCCATTAGTAGTTTGCATAAACAATTACAGTTCATTCAAACATATCTATACATTGTAAATCAAGAGAAATAGCTAATTTTCAAATGCTCTTTTTTTATTCATAGCTTCACACACACAAGGTGAAACAAACGGATAATAGAACTAAGATAAGTTAAGTGTACTAAATCTACATATTTTCAAAACTTAAAAAAAGCTGACAAAAAACACAAAGCTAATTTGATACCACTCAAATTTAAGCTGTTAAACAATTTGTCTTTCCAATATAAATTACTACTATATAAATACATATATTATTATTAAAGTGTAATATTAATAATTGCTATTAATAAATTCTATTCTTCTGTTTAGTCCCTAATTAATCAGGGGCCACAGTGGAATGAACCGCCTATTACTCTGGCATACTAATAAATTCTTGCATAAAATATTCAACTTAAAGCAGTTCTGAAAAATCAAACAATAAACTCTACTTTTCCTCAGTTTGCCTCGCTGGTGTGCAGTGATCTCACCTGCAGTTTGAGCCGGAGGAGTTTGGCGGTAAGAGGGGAGCAGTAGATGGGTCTGTGGCTCCAGGTGGATGACAGGCCACAGGTGTGATCCGAGTGCATGTGGGACAAGAAGAACAGGCGGACGTGAAGGCACTTGCGGAGCTGCCAACAGTCCACAGCTATAGGAGTGTCCGGTAAGACTTTCCCGTTCATTTTCTGCTGCTGGAGAGCTCAGACTTTACCCGCTACTCATTTCTAAAGAGACGTGATGACAGAAAAATGCGTTTCAGTTGATTTTGCTGGATTTGTTGATATTCGAAAGCGTCAATTGTCAAGCAGAACTGTCAGAAATGTAAACAAACAATATAATGTGCACTTGCGAGGGTTTATAACATAGCAAAATATCTTGACATCTTAAGCACACAGCGTTAGCAATAAACAAATGACACTGAATGTTTGAGCTTTACACAATGCCAGACAAAAAGGTAAATGTAACAGCATGCCTGTGAGTGTTCATCCGAGAGTGTTAGCAGGCCGGTTAGCTGGGCAGGTGATGAGGATGTGTTGTATTTGTGCAGATGAGCGCCATGCTAAACCCACACACTGGGCTTTCGACAATCGCGGTGTGTCAACAAATTCAAAAGATTTCAGCGCGCCTTTGTGAGGCACTTCTGAACGCTGCTATTTGGTAGTGCTGGTTTGTCCGCCAAAAACAATCCACGCCTCCGTGTTGCGCATGAGCCAGTGTGACGTCACTGCTGACGCGAACGCGCGGATGTCGGGTCTTTCTTGGTTTCTCTGCTCGTGCTGTGCATAAAAAATTACAATGATATATAATAATAATGAAATAAAATGCAAATGCTAGTTCTTTCCAGAATTATTAGCATATTAAATTAGATTGTTTTTTTTCTAGTACTTATCAACATACTAAAATTATTATATTATAATTGTCTATAATATTTTTTGTTCTTTCATTCTGTTCTTCTTGTACTGTGTGCTTTGAGAAACAGCAAATTATATTATTAACAATGAAACCTTCAAATAAAGCACTTTAGGGTTTGTTTACACTTGGTAGTTGTCGTTTGATTAAAATAAATTTGGTGTGACTCCTTTTAGTATGGTTCATTTGACTAAGTGTGAAAGCTTACTCTGAATCGGAGCAAACATGGACATTTAAGGGAACCATGATTGGTGAATTGGGCTCTGGATGTTTATTAAAACAAACTAGTGTTCTGTTCAGGAGTCACGACACAGCATTAGTCAAACAACACGGACCAAAGAGGGAAGATGCAAAGAATGTTTGGATGTTTTGAAAGATCTGTCACAGACACACAAATGTACAAGCTTTTTTGTTTTGTATTTTAGGTTTGGCCACTGTGAACACTGAGCGAATCTGATTGCACAAAAGTAGGATAAGGAATTAAACTGGGATTTTGAGGCTATCCTCGCTGAATTTAGCCTTGACTCAGTTGCATATAAGCAGGCTAAATTAAACTGAATGAAGTTACTATGGAGATTTATTCTTTACAGCTAGCCAGAACAGAATAACCACCAGGCTAAGATTCATCCTAGAGATTTTTATGTTAGTTTCATTGAAGAACAACAAATTAACGAGTTTATGGTCACTCCATTCTCTTGATTATTTACATAATACTATTAGACTGAAAAATAAGTATGTTTAATAGTCTAAGCTCTCTCTCTCTCTCTCTCTCTCTCTCTCTCTCTCTCTCATATATATATATATGAGAAGAGTTGAGTTCAGATGCAAAAACCTCTGAATGTCGTCTGAAATTTCCATATAAAATTTGTTATTTTCAGTTATTTCACTTTGAAGACCACAAAAAGAAGGTATTCTTTGCCATGAAAGTGAAATTATTAAACCTTTACACTGGAACCTGGTAAAAATGCTTATTTTAGAAGAAAATTTCAGACAGCATATAGAGGTTTTTGCATCTGAACACTTCATATAAATTTTTTGTATATAAGGTATTTATCATTTATAAGTTTTTGACATTTTCTAGTTTAGTTTTTTGCATATCTCGTTTGAACTTAGATGAAGATTAAATAAACTTGATGGAATAAACTAAACAGATATAATAAATCTACAATATTAGTTAAATGTTTGCAATAATCTTCACGTTAAATTTATTAGTAGCATGAATGTCCACTGGTCAAATTTAAGACAAAGTGAACAATTTCATTTGTTAGTACGTATCCTCATATGTTTTTGTTAACTCTCTGAATGAGAGTTCCCTGATTGGTGGGCGAGAGAGGCGTGTTTCAACTTGTTACCTGATTGGCTCACATCAGGTTTTATCCACACTTGCATCACTGATTCTGTGATCGATCTCGTGGTCTGTTAACAAATGCAGCGAATGTGCACTTATCTTGGCTTTCAACATCAGGCATAGACATAGCGGCTCATTCTCATCCTGAATCAGCAAATGTGCAACGGACTAAGCCAGGAGGAGCCAATTAAAGTAGATGAAGCCGCGCTTTTTCTGTTATCATGGCTTTCTTTATTTAACTTTTGTGCAATACCCATCTGGATTTTTTTTTTTGTTTGTTTGTTTCGAACAAAAAAACTCAAGAGAACCAAACACAGATGTGAACACACCCTTTGTGTGTGTAGAGAGACAGTTCATTTTAAGATAACTCCACATAAAATACATCTTTTTTCAAATGCATAATTGGCTTAACAACTTTCTCATATGCTTTACATAAAGGTCTTTGTTTAGGTCATCTGTTTAAATCTGGAAAAAGGCTTATTATTCCAAGTGGTACTCACTACAGAGTTTCATTTTTATATTTAGCGGCGCCCATAAGCTCCACTAGAGGTCAGTGTAACATCATTATATGGCGCAGACTAGAGCATTCTGACAGTTTTATCCTTTGTAGCACATCATCACAGCAAAGCTTGAAGAGTTCTTATCAGTCTGTGTGTAAGAGAGAGAGAGATCAGCAGCATACAGTGACTAAGCATACGGTTAAACACACACACTGTAAAAGTAGGGGAAACTATCTCTGAATGCTTGACCTTTTGAGACATTCCCACAAATTACAGATGAAAATTTCAAACAATGTGTAAACAAAAATGTCTCAAATCAGTTACAGTCATGTAAAAAGTCTATAATGCCAAAACAAATCAGGCAACCTATGAAAAGGGATGTTGCATAGGTAAGTTTTCAGGCCCATAGCCAACCTGGTGAAAGGGATGGTTCTTTTATTTTCAAAAAGTGAACCTTTTTGCAGTTATTTGCCGCGTTATATATTACATACTGCATTTTAGTGACATTTTAAGCACTATTTCTTTTAGCTGATTTGGCTTGTCGGATGGTCTTTATAATCAGACTTTTTGATGTACCTAATAATTCCTAAAGATTTACAATAAATACCTATGAAAATCTGTATAAAAATCTGTTAAAAGTTTGAAATTCAAAATTGTAGCCTTTTGTCATTTATTAGGCAAAATCAAACTGGCCAGCCGCTAGCACATTCAATTTTCCCCAGTCGGAATTTGGCTATTTTAATTAAAAAATGCTTAATAATTAGAATAAAAGTTACATGTAAAATGTTTTCTCTACTTAAAAACAATAGAGTGGCGAAAGATAACTTCTCTTACACCAGATTGTGTGTTTTCTTGAACAGCTTAGACTTAATAAAAATATTTGTTTCCATTAGCCAAAACTAATTAGCTAAAGTCACACCGAAGCCACAGCTAACAGAGGATTCCGCTTGGTCTTAAAGCCTTTTTCAATGGGTTATTTTTTTTCACTATTTATGATGGCACAGTAGTCAAAATAGGACAAATTAGCTCATGTATGGGACAAATTCTGGACCTTTGTCAGTGAGGGGGTGGGTCTTCCGGAAGACCCTGGCTACTGACCTGATGAAAATGATTTGTATTAATTATAAAAAGAGGTGCCGTATCAGATGGATCCATCGTGTTCCGACACAAATTAAGCCCTGACTTTACATGTTACTGCAGAGACATGTTCATATGTGGCTGTCAATCAATTCCGTGGGTGGGGAAGCCGCACTCCTACATCACCTTGCTGTCGGCGTCAAAATGGGACGGATTTGGATCCTTTTTTAATGTCAGGAAATTAAAAAAAGAGAGACTTATTGTCTTTATATCACTCCAACATTAGTGTGGACACGCTATACCTACACACAGTTCTGTTCAAACAGCTTACAAAAGATGATTTTCATCACAGGTGCACTTTTAAAACTTTGTATCAGTCTGAGTGTTTTTACAGTATTGAGCCTGAAACCAATACTAGTACATCCCTAATTTTATGTATATACTGTCTGCGCAATAACCGTGTGGACAATATACAATTGTGTGCAATTTTATACTGTTTTTATTCGTTAAAGTAACAAAAAGGCTTGATGATTAAAAATCTTGATGATACTTGAACATGTTTTTTTTCCTATAATATTCCATTGACATAAATTGTGTCAATTAATGATAATGATTAAAAATATCTCATGAATGACACTGCATGTTTTAACAGTAAATTTACTGTTAGCTTTCAGTGTGCATACAGTAATAGGGTAAATATTATGTCTACTTTAGATATTCAGCACAGAATAAAAACCGTGCCTCTCCAACCCTCACATGTGGTCCTCTGGGACCTGTGTTATTTCTTTGAAGAGTCTTCAGTGTTTTCTGGCTGCTCATAGTAGTCATAGAACAGGAATGGGGCCTTATTTGTTGATAGTTATTACTCAAGATATTCCTAAATAATTATTTTAAAAGGAGATATTTTCTTGTCTTGCATTATTAATTATGAAACAAACAAACAACTTAATAGCTAGAGTAAGTCAAACATGCTGACACTGAAGATGATAAATGATGATGAACTACAGTACTTCCTTCGATAGTAAACTGATATTTCCTGTTTTTGATGATGAAGCGCCTGCTTCTTCATTCAGAGTCATTTTATACTGCGTGTCTGTGAAGTAAAAACAAGAGGGCAGATTAAATTAGCCCATTGTTCCCATTTATTCTGAAATATTTCATTTAACAAATGATTGTAATTCCACAACTGTTCTTTTAACAATTATGAACATAATGTACTCGGACATACAGTGCATAACATGGCTATGTACAGATTAGATACATGTACACTTTTAATGTCAGTACAGACCTGCCATTACGTCCACATGTGAGATCAAAAACCCCACAGAAGTGTGACAAGTGAAGTGTGTAATTTCTGCACCACAGACGAAATGGCAATTCCTAAACGCTTCCTCATGTGCAAATAAAATGGTCAGGATGTCAGAGTCAAGCTGCTCAGGATGCTCAAACAAACAGAGCAATGTTTTATAACGCCTCAGAGCCACAGTGTTTATACTTTTATTGGCGGGGAATCAACCCAAAATGGCAACTGGAAAAAGAAAGAGCGTGTTATTCTTCCATTACATAAATTACACACTTCACCTTTAAAAGTAATGCTAAGCCAATAATTAAAACATTATGAAACACAATAGCATGAATGCTAAAAATCTGCCTATGTTTTATATAGTAGAACATTTTTTAAACATGAGGATATGAAAAACAGTGACTGAATTTTTGTTTTTGTGTATGATCACTCATGCCAATCCTTTATGCATACTCCTAATTATAATTCCGGAAAAATATATACTACTATAATACTGAATAGGTAATACACTATCAGTTTTGATCATTCATTAACCCTGAATATGCTCAGATAGTTGAGATTTAGTCTTGCGTACAGACTCTTCCGCTCCGGTCACCACAGAAAAAAGATAAATAGTCATTTTCATCAGCGCATCTTCATTTCCGCTAACAATTCCAGCTTTGTTAGGACATGCACTCAATCACAAACACACACTCACACACACTCATACATGACTTTGCTACGAGGCTAGAGAAATGTGAGCAAAATCTAACGTCAGCTGCCTACAATATATTTTTGTCCTTCACAATAACAGATCTTCATTTATACACCCCATAATTTTACAAGAAAGAGCCATGTCCAACTCTTTGTCGTGGTTTCTGACATCCTCTTCCTGTCATTGTGCACAAAGGTTCAGTATATAAGCAGAATGTCCGAGAACCTGAGAATGTACAGCGCTCTGATGTCTGTTCTTCATACATTCATATGGAACTAGTAACTGGTGATTAGATGTTTCTATATTATGTTGTGATTTTTATTTTTAGGGATGCACCGATAGCCTTTTAAGTACTGATTTTATTTTCTGCTTGGTACACGCTGACACCTGTACTTCTTGGGGATGTAGCAATTTTCAGAGTTTGACATAGAGACTAGTGAGATCATTTTAGGGCAGCTTCTATGTAATTATGAACAACATTAACTCAATTTTCTTTTTTAAAATTAATTTTCACAGTACCAAATCTAAGGACATAATAATAATAATAATAATAATAATAATAATAATAATAACAATAATAATATTAATAATTTTACCATTTTATTATCAACCAATCACAAAGCTGTCAGAACGCTCCAAAATTAACTTTGCTAAACAAATATTTATAACACTGCGTTACAACGTTCAATAATGTGTAACAATTCAAGGGCACCGATTTTACCCCTTTAAAGATTTAAGTCTAAAACATTTTAAGTCTTTTGTGTCTTCAAAATGTGTTTGTAAAGTTTCAGCTCAAACCACCCATCAGATCATTTATTATACCTTTCAGAATATTTGAATTTTCTCCTTTGAACACAATGTAGCTGTTTTTGTTGCCTGTGCCTTTAATGCTGGTTCTCCCCACCACCGTTCCCACGTGCCTGTCAGAGTGTGCCTTAATCTCTGCCTCGGCAGCATCAGATAAACAGCACAGTGACAGACATGAAGGAAGCAGATCCAAAACATTTTAACATTACTTGATGTGTTTGTTGTGGAGTTAATTTAAGCTTTTTAATTTAAGCTCACAAAATGTCTTTACAAAGTTTACGCGCAGACACCGCGCACGTGATTAACTTTGCACAGCAAATGTGACAGTATACACGTTGATATCCACTGCTGTATAGATATCCGTTAAAAAAACCTGATTTAACAGTCACAAACTGGGATTGAAGCGTCTTCTTTTTATAATTTTGTACTGACATTATATTTTGTACTGACATGCAGCTGTGGTGATAAAGGCGGTAAAATCGCTGTAAGTCATTACAAACATGTGCTGTTTCCAAACTTTTTAAAGTTGTAAAACTCATTCTTGATCACTTTTGGTAATGATTGATGATCACAGTGAGCCGAACATATCTTTTAATCCCAGTTGCTTTGCGCACATCCTGTCTTGTTGAAATGATTATGCGCATTACTACGGAGATGCGTTAATACGGGCTGTTAGTTTTTTCGGTGGGCAGGGAAACCACACTCCTACGTCAAGATGCAGTCTACCTCAAAATGGGAGGGATTTGGATTCTATTATGTCACCCCAATATGACTGTGGACACACTATACCTACACACAGTTCTGTCCAAGCAGCTTTAAAAGATGATTTTCATCATAGGTGCCCTTTAAAACTTTCCGTAACCAATACTAGTATCAGTACATCCCTAATTTTATTTTAGTTTTATAATATACTGTCGGCGCAATAACTGTGTGGACAATATACAATCGTGTGCAATTTTGTAATCGTTATAGCCATGTACACACTGTTTAATGTGGTGACTATTTCATATACATGGAGTAAATTCCCTAAATTATTTATTATTTTTTGTATTTGTACTGAACTTTGCTGATATTGTGATTATTGACACGTGTAACCATAGCAAAGTTCTGGCACTTTGTGCATTTGATATCCACTATTTTTGATAAAATTATATTAACCAAAGACATGTGAATAGAGGTGATATTTTTATGTTTAAAAGGCTGCTTGACAAAGCAAGCTCCTATAGTGTTGCCATGTCCACTTATTCTCAACGATGCTTAAGTATCTTTATATAAGTGATCTAGTTCATTGAGTTAATAAAATAGGCAGGTCACAATATATTAGTATGTGGTTATATTTATTTTCTAAATAATGTGTTTAGTAGGGCTGTAACAAATCATGGTTGATTCGTACGGATCACAGCCCACGTTTCGGAACACATGTGACCCGCAGATTAAAACATATTTTTACTGGTAGATTAATCCTACATTTGTAACGATCGCGGTGAGATCGCCTTTCGCAATATTCAAGTCACATGTATGAAGGATTTAAGTTTTCCTGAAAAAAATAATTATGACGGAAGAAGTTGTGGTGGGATATTCGGGATGTGGTGGGTTTGTTAAAGGTGTTTTCTGTCACTACTTTTTTAACCTGGGTTAATGCATTCAGTGTAAACTGCATAATCAATTATTAAAAGATCGGGATCTCAACAACTGTGCAACATAAATGATGGTGATTTGCATATGTTTATTAATCCTTCAAATTGCTGCATTCAAATCTAAAAATGCAAAAATCAAGAAGGAGATTCAGTCTTTAGCCTTCTGAGTTAGCTATGTAGTTACAAACAGTCAAATAACACAGAAGTACTGGGATAACAGTTTATAGTTTAGATAAAACCACTGATGTTTATGGTAAAGATTAAAATCACCGTCATATGCATTTAACAACGCTCAAAATTGTAGGCAGTGATTAAATAATTTAACCAATAGGTGGCGACAACCAGCCATCAAAAACATGCCACTGAATAATTCTTCAAAAATGACCTATCTAGCAATGAAACATGAAGTTTTATGAGTGACTAACTGAATTATTTATTGAAAATGAAACGAAAAATAAATATAGGTTGTACAAATTATAATTTTAGATTTCTACAGCGTTATCAGCAACAGGAGTAGTAACAGTGAATTTTACACAGGATACAGAATAGAATAGAATATTTTAATTTTACTATTTATTTTTATGCAGCTGATTATTTCTTAATTTTATTTTAATAAAAGTACAGCTTCTAAGTTCTGTTTGTTGAAACCAAAAGTTTCTTGCATTACTATTTTTGTAATAAATGGAAAGAAAATGACATTTGTCTCCTTCCCTTTTTTGGCTGATCCGAAAAATAGCCCGATCCGACTAAAAAACCATTATGTAATCCAAATCACACTACACCACTAGTGTTTAATGTTAAGATTATTATGATCTCTTTTTTATTTTCTATTTCTGTTTAAGATCTATCATATGTCATTTCCTGTTATTTCTTGCACCATGCATACAGAAGATAAACACAACTCTAATGTGCATTTTAATACGCCATTAATTACTGGAGTTTAATACACAGAGCATAACATTATTTTTGTAAATGTGATCGTCACTACCAGAATTTCTCAGAAATGTATTTGGTTTCTGAACACTGAACACACTAAAAGTTGAATTTGCTGCAGTGTGTACATGGCTTATGTGAGCAAATATTCTTAGAGTTCAATTGTACGTCAGTCAACCTCATTTTATTTTAAACATCCTTCAAGGCAGCTTCACAATTTATTTTAAAGCAGGATTTCTTGTTGTTCCCCTTCTGAAGTTCCTCTTCAAAAAGACTTGACTCGCTTGGTGCTTTTTGAAGCAAAGCTGTCTCATTATTCCAACGAAGGGACATCCAGAACAGTCTGTGGTGAGCTCCGATTTACATTCAAAAGAGACAAACCAAGACTTGATAGCTTTGGCCGTCCAGCCAGGGAATTCTGGGGATGCCAGTCAGACGTTGTGTTCCAAAGCAGGTTCAGGAGGCGAAACGGCGACTGCAGCGAAGTAGTGGTTGTTATCCAGTCTCTCGCTCGGCTGGCTATCAGGAGGCGGAGCTTCCTTGCAGCAGAAGTACTGCTTCCAGATCCTGTAAAAGGCAGTCCGAAACTTCTTGATGCGGAAAGCATAAACGATAGGGTTGACAGCGGAGTTGCCATGCGTGAGCAGAATGGCAATGTAAATGAGGAACATTGGCTTCTCGCATGTCGGAAAGAAGAGCGTGATGCAGTTCATAATGTGGAGGGGAAGCCAGCTAATTGCGAACAGGAAAAGAACTAGCGCTAGGGACTTGGCCAGCTTTAGTTCTTTGTCGTAATACTTGTTGGGTTCCGAATGACTGGACACCTTCTTGTTCAGCTGCTTGTGGATCATATAAAAGATTTCAGAGTAAATGACGAGCATGAAAAGCAGAGGCGGAAGCACCCAGCCGAAGAAGTTGAAGTAGACCATGTACTCCATGCTGATGACGTTCTCAAACTGGCAGGTGACGATGAGGTCAGGGCCTATCGAGTCGTTCTGTTGCAGGCTGTGTAAATTGTTCCAGCCCAGCATCGGCGTCAAGCCGACAATGAAGGCCACCATCCAACACATGAACACTGCAATTCCAGCTCGTTTGGGAGTGACGACTCGCTTATAACTGCAACACAAGAACACAACAATAGTCCATTTAGTGCTAATATGAATTGATTTCTCATCATTTTTATTAACTTATCGAAGATCATTACTACTTTAGCTTTTGACAAATTCACATTTTGGTAATTTATTTAAATTGGTACAATTCCACTTCTACATGAGGCCAATATTTATGTTTACGTGCTGTGTTAAGGTGATCTAAATGCTTACTAATAAGGCTGCAAGATACTGGGAAAATATACAATGTGCAAAAATGTTATTGAGCATTGCAACGACTATATATATTGCATTTCCTTGGAGAAATTTAAATTATGTATTGATCAGACTACAATAAAGAGATAACAGATGTTTTCCAAATCTAATTAAACTAATAAATCAGGCTAAAACAAAAAGCAAAGTGCAAATATTTATACTCACTAGAGCTAAACGCTATTGGAAAAATCTAACATTGCAATTTTTTTTAATTCTCCAATATATATTGCGAAATGAATACAATTTAACTAAAGGTGTTGAATTACTATTTGGAAAAAGATGATCATTTTAAATTGATTGGAATGATTCTGTAGATGAGTGCATATGCATAATATATATATATATATATATATATATATATATATATATATATATATATGTATGTATAAACTACAAGCATGGACAAATTCAATAAAGAAAAAGATACAAATTAAATAAACAGCATTCGATTGTTTTTCCGAGGAGTCAAACTGTATTCAGGTATAGTTAAATAACGAAATGTAAAACAATACTGCATAATCTTTGTTTTATAAACGATTCAATTCAGTACAATTTCTTTAGCCTGAATGCTTTTAAAGCTCTCACACAGCCATGGGCCTCAAAAAACACTTGTATTTATATTTTATCATAGTATATAATTATATTCCAGATTCAATATAGTGTATAATCGCGATGTGAATTTGAGTATGATCACATTATGATATTGATGTTGAAACGATGAGTAGCCCTAATGCTTACTAGAAATGACTGAAAACCTCTGTCGAAATTCTGGTTCCTATTCGTTTTCTTTGCATGTCTCTAACCCTATCATTAGTATTTATTTTTTAACTTGCTGCTCTGAGGCACTAAATTCACCTTTGGGCTGGTCTAACCATAAGCATAATGGCATCTGGAGAGGCAATAGCATCTGGAGAGGCAAGTAAACAGGCCCTGACTGATTAGTCATGTTTGGTTAAGCAATCAATGCATGCAATACATACATGCTTGCCACATAAATTTTTTACACCACTCTGTGATACAGAAATTGCACAATAAAATTTATTTTGATGTATTTTTCAGCCCTAAATACGCTTTAATAACCATTGCATATTTTCATATGACTGAATTTGTACAAATTCATTATAAAATTGCCACTTTGCTAAACAGCTGTTGACAGCATACAAGGGGAAATAGGCTTACATTTTAAAATTTCCCTATAGTTAAACAAATTCGTCTAGCGGGAGCACTTTTAGCTTAGTTTATCATAGATCATTGAGTCAGATTAGACCATTGGCATCTTACTCAAAAGAATAAAAATAAAGAGTTTTTACAATTTTCCTGTTTAAAGCTGGACTCTTCTGTAGCTACATTGTGTGAAAAGTTGTTATTCTCATACCAGTGAAACAATCAAGCTTTAAATGGAAAAAATTATAAAGACTTTTCTGAATGAGATGCTAATGGTCTAATCCGATTCAATGATCTATGCTAAGCTATGCTTGAATTGCTCCTGCCAGACAAAATGAGCCTATTTCCAAAAACAGTGTTGCTTTAAAGCAGGGGTGCCCAAACTTTTTCTTATAAGGGGTCAAACTTGATTGAGGGCTAAGGGCCGAAGGTAAATACAAACCTCATTAAGTTTTTCTAATTTATTTCCTTATATTTAAAAATAACTAGAAAGATTTCAATCATATTAACCAATGCAATATAATTTAAAACATTTTATAATAAACTTATTACAGTAAAAACACAAATAATCCTATTTATAACACAATGGAGTTCAATGCTACTGTAAATACACTAGTTGAGCTGCTTCTGTCTTTGTTCGCCAAGGTCTTGTGCAGTGTCCTCTATCTGTCAAGTGACAGTATTCACATTTTAAAAGTCTGTTCATTTACAAATTTCATTTAACTGCTCAGTTGGCTTTTTGGCTTAGCAATAATACAAAGAAACAAAACATTATGTTAAATTCAAAATGACAATCTCTGTCATAAGCATTCACACTAACCAGTCCCCCATTATTCTCCCTCTCTTTCAGATGTGATGGCGTGCCAAATCAAAGGTTACCATGGGCCAAATTTTGGGCATCTTTGTTTTAAAGTAATTTCTGCAATTTTATGACTTCAAAATATACATTTTCACAATATCTTTATAATATTTTTACAAGAAAATAAGGCAAAATCCTGTGAATAGAGTAGAATTTTTTGTAGAATCATGGAAACAACATGAAACTTGTTTCACAACTTCTTGAAACCAGGTAGTCTTTGAATGACCAAGGTCAGCTCTGTTTACTTGCTGTCCAACTTTCATTAACGGCAAAATTGAGACAAAGTATTACCACCAGAAAGCCTGTTTCAGTGAAACCCACTCCCTCTCATCCTTCAGTTGCATCTTCTCCAAGAAGCCATCTTTCATCTGAGAATCTAGGTCTCATTCCAAACTCCTTGTCAGTTGTTTGAATGATTTCAGAACAAAGGCAGCAGTGATTTAACAGCACATCTTCAAGTCTCTGCAGCTGTCGCACTGAATTCTAAGTAAAGGTGCTTAACATACTGTTAGTTAAGATTCAAGTGGTGTTTTTATTGCTTGAAGGTTCTTATGTTAATGTGTAAAAGCAAAAAATATGTTAATAACTTAACTCAATTTAATTTCTAGAGCACTTTCAACCAACCACAATGGGTACCAAAGTGCAGTACATAAAATACATACAAATAAGCAAGCAGCCCAGATACATTAAAAGTTTGTTTTAACTTAGTATTTATACTCACTTGCATAGTTTTCTAGTATCTCAAAGGCATAGCGTATTAAAACTCATTCAACATAAGAAGAACTAAAAAGTTAAAGATGGTGTTCCATATATTCTTGTATAAATATAACAGAAAATCCATGCCGTAACGAGAATGATAAAAGCACAGAGAAAACAATGTCATTAAAATGACTTTCAGAATATAAATTTATATATTTTCTATTTGATTCATAAAAAACATTAATCAGAATCTCCCCTCCTTTAAAGTGGCAGCATAAAAACTGTAGCACACCACTATTTTGCATTGGTGTGGATGCTATTTTAGGCCTGGTAACACATGCTATTAAGATGCATGTCCTTCAGTCTTATCTCAAGTGAACTGTATGAAATACAGCTGCAAACAGCGTATGTAGGGTAGGCATGGGCCAGTATAAGATTCTGACGGTATGATATCCTTGGATAAAAATATTATGGTTTTGTGATTACTGCTCTAAAATATATTCTTTTTAAATGTCTGGGTAAAAAACAACCACTTTTTTTCCTTTAAAAACGATGTATTTTATTTTGGGAAACATTTATAATATTTCGGAACAGTAAACATGTCAGGTTAATAATTTAAATGAATTGACTTCTGCTGTCTTTATTAGTTTTAAAATCACAGATTTCTTTACCATTTAAAATGAGATCTGAGATCTTTTCTGCTGGAGATACCATCATCCTAAATAAAACATAAATAAAAAATCTCCCATATACCAAAGGAATGGTATAGCAGAACATTTTGCCGGTTTTAAAACCTTGACTTTTTCAAACAGTGGTAAAACGGTTGAAAACAGTTATCGTCCCATACCCAAGTATGCATTTTGAAATTTGTCCAATTTTTACACAAATGGCATTCATATAAGTCCACACATACTAACACCCCGGGGAATTAATAATGCATTTCAGCTTATTTTTATATTTATCTTTAACATAATAGTTCTTGTTGTAAATAGGGCTTGTGAACTGTAGGCCCAAAAGAATGTGTGAGATCTCTTTTTTTCGACTGATTAAATTAGCAGTTCAAAAATAAATGCTTGTTCTTCAAAAGCTGTGATGCATGCTACACTTTATTCAGAGCCATATGCATTATTGAAGAGTGGAAGAAATAAAAATAAATCCTTATGGAGTTTAAATGGATTCATTTATATCTGACTTCTGCCAGTGGCCTGGAATGTGCATGTAACAATCTGCATCACAGTGAACTTTCTCCTTCTTTTACTTCTGCTCATTCTTTCATTATTTTAGTATCGTGCTGGAATATAATAGATACAATAAAGATTGATTGCTGCTGTCAGTAGCTGTTTTCGTCCAAAGTAATGAATTTCTTGATGTGCATAATTAAAATATTGCATAAAACATTTGATGCAGTATTCAATTCCATCCCATGTTTAATATAATATAATTGTCACATCAAACTAGCACGACACATCAATAATAAAAACTATTGTTTAAGCAAGTGGAAAAAACACTTTAGCTCTTTTTTTCCTCCACAGTAAAAATTTGAACATGACTTTTGGATTTGCATTATTACATTTAATAAATGAGTTTCCGTCATAGTTAGAGCTGTACAAAATATTGTTTCAGCATCGATATCACAATGTGCAAGTCTGCAATAGTCGCATCGCAGGCATCTGCAGTATAGTTTTTGATTCTAATTGACCAGTCATTACAGTTACAACATAGTGGAGTCATTCCAGGTTTTAACTTTAGAGTTAAAGTTTATGGACCCTTAAGTAGCTTTTTAGATTAACTGTTGTTATCATCTGCGTTCATGCATACATAATCATTTTAATAATAATTCGTCTAACATCACAGGCACGCACAATGGCACAGTGAGATGTTTTCCACTGCGTGCGCCCGAAAGACGCAAGCGCGTTGCTCCGCTTGTGCGCACATATTGTCATTCTTACATTAGCAAAAACAAAATTGCAAGCGGAAAAGACATGATATGGGAACGGCTGCTGCTATAGTTAATCCGGAACTTTAAACTA